TGCGGTGTTGCAGTAATATGTGATGTATCTACTTGCGCACTCGGTGGGGAACCATCGATTTCACCCCTTAACTCCTCTAAGACTAGTCTACTCGCGGGCTTATGATTCATAATATAGTCTTCTTCTAGCGTTCGTCGAAACGATCACCTTCTGATCCTCAGGCTTGGATCGACATAGGACCACACAAATCAGAATGAATCAGTCCTAGCACTTCTTGGCTCCTACACCCCTTTGCCGTAAACGGCCTCTTGGCCATCTTACATTCCAGGCAGAATTCGCAAGTTAGATAGTGCTCTTCCAATGGACCGAGATGTCCACTGGCCACTAACTTTTGAATCCTCCTAAGGTCGATGTGCCCAAGTCTAAGGTGTCACAGATATGCTTGATTCATCTGCGAAGACTCCTTCCTCTTTTTAGATATAGCTATGACATTATTCAATTCATTATGTTGCATTGTGGGAGAGTTTGGTTTGAGAACATACAAATTGCCAACTAATGAACCACAACATATGAAACGATTTCCAAAACGAATAATAACCATGTCATCAAACGAAACTGAAAAACCATCCATAACGAGTTTAGAAACTGAAACAAGGTTCTTTCTAAAGCTAGGAACATAAAGACAATTTCTCAAAACCAAACTACTACTATCTAACGATAAAGTAACGTCTCCCACTGCAACAGCCGCCACTTTCGTAGCATTGCCCATGTAGACTGTGATCTCTCCCTCCCTAAGTCGTTTGGTTTCCTAGAACCCCTGCAAAGAATTGCAGACATGATCAGTGGCTCTAGTATCTACACACCAGGTTCTGGTAGATACAACCGCTAAACATGTTTCTACGACATTAATGAGAGAGTTACCTTTCTTGAGGAGAGGGCAATCGACCTTCCAGTGTCCTGACTTGTTGCACTTGTGGCATCTTCCTTTCGGTTTCTTTGCCACAGCCTAAAGGGTCGGTCGTTGGTAAACCGGAGCATCATGTGCCTTCGCCTTTCCTGCACACTTCTTTCTCTTCCTGCCCTTGTGAGGCCTGGAAGGTCCAGCCTGCTCTGCAAGCTGTTCTGGAAGAGCCATATGCATCTTGTGCATGTTGTAGTTCAACCGGAACTGATCAAAACTCTTCGGCAGAGATTGGAGCATAATATCAACCTGGGTTTCCTCGTCAATATAGCCTCCCATAACCTCAAGCTCATTGAGCTGCGCCATAACCCTGAGGGCGTGCTCCCTTACGGGTGTGCCCTCGGCCATGTGCGTACTTATCAAATCACTCAAAGCCTCTTGCCTAGCAGCCCTAGACTGATGTCCGAACAGATCCCTGAGATTGAGAAGTATATCTGCTGCAGTGTCCTCAGACTGATGCTGATGTTGAAGAACATTCGACATAGAAGCCAGAATGTAACAGTTCGCCATCTCATCAGCCTTCTTCCACCGAGCATACTTCTCTTTCTCCTGCTCAGGAGCATCAGCCGCCGGCACCGTTGGGCAAGCATCAGTGATAGCAAACTTATAACCCTCAGCAGTCAACACTGTGTCTAAGTTCCTCTTCCAATCAATGTAATTAGGACCAGTAAGCTGATTTTCTTTTAGAATGACTGACAACGGATTGAACGACATGATGAATATCCTGAGAATCATGCACATAAATTTTACAGATTAAATACTTTTGAATTTAACTGTTAATATTGATATCCTCAAAATCCACCGACATCTATTACACCTTGTGAGAATGCATGCTACGAGGGTCGCCCTACAAACTCGCATTTTGTAAGAGAAGGGCTTTTCTAAGGCCCATTAATTTCCATAAGTTAAAACCAAATTCATGACGAACGAAATTAATAGTCGGTCTCCATTTGGCCATGCAATAGAATTCAGGGACCCTGAGGAGAGTTAATAAATTTAATCGCATTCTAAGTAAATCCCATTTCTCGGTCCTAAGGTCGTCAAATTTGATTATACGTCATCCGAGGGGAAGCCCGTACGCTCTCATAAGATTTCCTCTAACCATCTACTTTTAGAAATTTGTCCTGGTAATTTCCTACAATTAATTTTAGCAATGTCCCCCAAGGGGGAGCCCAAAACCGCAATTAATTGATTTTCCGACAAATTAGAAATGGAGGCCTTAGGAATTTTACAATTAACTTTAATTTAAAATCCCTTCTCAAACTTAGTATTATTTTAATGAGGATTTTGAACTATTTATACAATTTCAAATTAATCTATGTTAATGCAATAATTAATAAACATGCATATTAATTCATGCAATTCTAAATTAATCTATGTTAATGCAATAATTAATTAACATGTTCAATAATTTATGCAATTCTAAATTAATCCATGCCAATGCAATAATTAATTAACATGCATAATTTATTGACACAATTCCAAATTAATCCTATGCATTACATAATTATTTAACATGCATAATTAATCTTGCAATACTAAGTTAATCACATGCAAGAACATAATTAATTAACATGCATAAATAATAATTTAATGACATAATAAATTTAATTCCATTGTAAATGAGTACGGAGCAATCAACGAATTCCGGCGAAATAGAAGATCTACGTGACCAAATTTTCCTGCTCATCAGACTTTAAATAAATAAATAAATCCACTATTATAGTCATTAAATATTGAGTCTCCTTAAACAAGGAAACTGTGACAGTTCTTTCCCTATTCAACTGAAACTCCTTTAAGCAGTAGAATCCTGGTTGATCTTGTACTGCTTGATCATCAAGGCAAAAACACCAGCCACCAGCCGCCACCTGCCGCCGCCACCAGCCTCGGAAAAAACGCCAATTATTTTTTCTTCTTTTTTTATTCTTCGAGGCTCATTGATCTTCTTGTGATCTCCCGGTCATCAACACATGATCACAACACGGAAAATATAATTTACAAAATTACATAATTCGATCTTAGATCCAACGAATGGATGTACATGTTTTCTAAACAAATAATTAAATCTATCCGGTCAACCCCCGGGTGAATAATTATTACAAACATTCATCCATAAATTCCTCGACATGTCCGAGGCTTTAAAAACAAATTTAAAACCATACATCACATTCAACAACATTCATCAAACACATAATCGGCCATAATAGTGGATTAACTATTTATCCTGCAAAACCGAGTTATGCAAATATAATCCAATATATGGCTGCGTTTGAACACATCTTGTCAAATAAAGCCGTAAAAATTCGAACTTTGTACAAAACGAATTAACCAAGTGCTCTAATACCACTTGTTAGGATCTGTGAGGATCTCGTTATGTACAAGTCACGAATTTAATAGCAAACGTAAACCTATGCGCAGCGGATCAAAAGGTTTGACGTAGAGAACTTACGGCTTAAAATTTATGTAGATCTGGTTGACCACGAACGGTTGACCACAATTGATTGACCGCAAATCACGTCTTGGGTTGCACGAACAAATCAGATCAAAACCGGATCAAACGAATGCAAACAGATCAAAACGAAACTTTGCAGCCTGGGAGCTTCTGGCGGCGCGTGATGGCGCGTGCGGCATCGGAATCCAGCGATCTCGGCGGCGATGGACAGCCCTCATCGAGACGGTCGTCTGGGTATACTGTACGTCTCAATCGGGCTTCCGGTTAGTTCTGTAGGTCAAAATATATTTCGTCTCGGTTTACCTACAGATCTTCTACTGTATTATTCAATACACCCTTCTTCAACTTGTACCAGTGGAGCAACAAGAAGAAGATAAAGCTCGAATGAGATCTAGAGAGAGAGAGAGAGACGTGGGGCGTTATTCACGTGTGTTTTTGGAATTCCCATCTCTTCTCATGAGCTTATTGATGTATATATAAAGCTACAGTAGGGACCCTTAGAAGATTAGAAAAAGGGCTCCTTAATTAATTAGACTAACTGTGGGCCAAGCCCACTCCTTTAATTAATTAAATAAAATTAATGGACCACCAATATTATATTATTGTACACCCTCTTCCTAGCCCAAATTACATTTGAGACTCCAATAATAATTACTCGATTTAACTCCCCACGTTTAAGATATAATGTCCATTAATTAATTCGATTACTGACAATCAAGAATTAATTAATTTATTATTATTTCACCAAAGCTAGCGCTCGTCCATCATATTCTTATTATGCCGGAACTTAATCCACTTGTAGGGTTTAGCATAACAATCCTTCATGAACTCACTCCGGGGACATCATCAAACTAACGCACATGGTGACCGTAAATATTCTAACAGCACATCCTATATATAATAATATTACCCAAAACAGTAGGAATATTAATCCAGCGAACTGAACCTCACCCATGTGAATCAAAGTAATATATATCATATATATCTGCCTGTTTAATATCTTACGGGTTAAGAGAACGCAGTAATTAACCGAGGCCTAGTTCATTTACGACGATTAGTATAAAATGAATTTCTCCTCTCTGGGATCCTGTTCAATACATAAATGTACTAGTGCAACTAATCAGTCAAGACAAACTGTACAGTTGACACTACAACCGTTCGGATGGGGTGGTGTTCATGTCCATCTAGGTTGTGAACAACTATTCTTGTTCGCAAGTGACTGATAGAGTGATCTTCGGTTCGTCCGATGACGACCCACCCTATCTAAGTGCAGAACAACAGAACGTAGAACTTGTTTAATCTAACATGATTCTCATTCATAAAGGGTAAATGTGTAATAACATGCAAAACCAAGCTTTCAGTGTATAACACTAACAATCTCCCACTTATACTTAAAGNCTCTCAAAAAAAAAAAAAATCCCATTTTTGTTTAGAAAATATTCCAAACAATCAATAAAAAATGGAATCCTCCATCTTTCAAATGATTAATAGGAAGAGAAATCCTCCATTTGCCTTAAATATGGGATTGCAAACATTCTCAATTTTATATGAAACAAATTTAAAGCCGACGCAAAAAGGATTCAAGATGCATTTGTATCAAATTTCTATTTAAGTCAAACTATTTAAATAAAAGTCAAATTGCCCGTGCTACGATATGGACAAGCTTGCCCTGTCGACAATGTGATTCTTCAACCTGAGAGATTTGCTCGTGGAAGTGAGCCTATGCAATATCCGATGTCTCACTGAGTCTTTCAATATCTCAGAAGCATCATTTTGTGGTGCCACCTGTCCATATTTGGTGATCACCATAGTAATAATCGTGTTGTGGTGGTGGTTGAGTACTTGGAGTTGAGAATTTTGTTCGTTTTCTTCATGGCTTACATTGTAAATACATCCTGCTCAAAGGTCATCTTGGTCACTACATCATCAGGTATTTCAAGGGCTATCCAGTAATTAGACTTCTCCAAAATCTGNGAAAAAAAAAAAAACCCAAGCGAGAGGGCCTGATATTATTATCACATTAATGCAAGATAATTTTGTTGCCCACCTCAAGCTGTGCTTTAATCACCGGGCCGCAATCTTTGAAAACAAATAAGAGAAAGAGATTGAACAAATTACCTGGTGGACGATCAAAAGTAAGTTTTTCACCCTAAATACGATCTAACTTTTTAAGTTCCAAACTAAACTTTTCTTTTCCATTTGAATGTTATTTTCATTTTCTTAATCACCTCTCCGACATACTTCCCATCCCAATAGACTCAATTCAATTTCTCTTCTCTCTTCCCTTCTCACTTCACAGAACACACGCACACACCAACACGTCATATATTTACAACCTCCCATCACTTATCTTGTTCTCTCTTCTTCGTAGATCCACCGATTGAGAATGGCGAGCACCGGAGAGATGTAAAACAACCAAGCTTGGCGGAGATTGATTCGGACCACTGACTCGAATTTTGGGGTCCGCCGAGTACAGCCGCTGACTCGGCTGGGATGGTGGAGCGTGAGTCACCGGCGAGATCTTGACTAGTAGCGACGACGGCGCGACCAAAGATTTATGTATCACATCTCTGTCTCATCGATAGGCGAACAGACAGGTTTTCATCCCAGATCTATGTCTTGCTGATAGGTGCGCGACCAGGTTTTAGGGTTGGGTTGTCGGACCAAGTTATCGGCGGAGAGAGGCAATTTTGATGGCTCCAATTTTGGTGTTCACCAACGGCGGTGCGAGGGACAGAGGTAGATCTAAGCTATAAAAAAGTTCAATATTATAATTAAGGTTACTCATGTTATTGCCACGAAATTTTGGGCGTTAGGATTGGAAATATTCATTGTGCAAATGAAATTGATTTTGGTTTTGGTTTTTGACTTTAGCAATCCTAGCACTCTATTATGCAACAATAGTTTTCCTTTTCATCCCCAGTGCCAAATCTTACCTTAATATATGAAATTAATTTGTTGTAAACAGAAATACCTCCCTTCAATATGCACAAAATAAAATAATTAAAATAGAACAACAATTGCTCTTTGATTTTCTTGATATCACACAGGCCAGATGTTTGATGAAATGCGTGTGTGAGTTTGTTTAGTTTTGTTTTCCTTTTGCATATGGAACAACAGTTTTCCTATCCAGTTCATTTATATTTGAAGTTTTTTTTTTTTTCTTATTGTTGATTATTATTATTATTGTAGACGAACTAAACGGTGGTTCTTTATTTGGATATGATGGGGATGGGGATGGAAAACTTTGAGTATTTCTGATGTTCATCTATCGTACCAGGTTTCTTTTGTTGTTATTTTTTGCATGGTATATTTTTTGTATTTCTTTTGGTAAATATGCAGTATCTGAATTATTCTTTTATTCTCTTTTGGATGTGTGGTGACATGAAGTTTTAGATTTGTTAAATGACTGATGTTACTCTTAGTACTATTTGGTTTATTTGGTGTAACACTGATGTCAAACAATTCGGTTTTTTGAGTATTAATTTGATGTTTATCTATGATTTCATTATGTGTTTTGATTTTTTTTGTTGTCTTATCTACCTTATATTTCAGTTTATTGCTCAAATTTATTGCTATTAGCAAGAGATGAGGAGACTGAAGGGTGACATTGGGAGTGGTGAGGTAAATGGCGCCGAAGAGGGCAGCTTGGTGATGGGGTATATGGGGCGGTACTCAGAGAATACCCACCACTCGATATTGTCCATGTCGTCGGAAGAGACAGTTACGGGGTCTTGCATGATGTCCAGGAAACGAAGCACGAGGACGTTGATTTCGAACATTGATGGAGATGAATTGAAGGTTATATTATGCTTATTTGTGAATTTGTTTTTTTGGTTAAGGCGTTGAGGATTTCTACTTGAAGATTTAAAGCATCTGCATAGCTGCCTTGGGACATGACTATTGATTTCGAGACTGATTTGAAAAAGAATCGAGTCCGACTTGGGACTTGACCTTTTTTTAGGTTTATTTTTAGGTTTATTGTAGTTTATGTTCACAGATGGTTTGTGATTCAGACTTTTGGAGAAAATATTTTTCAAATGTTTGATTTAATTATTTTGTGGATGAATTATATGTTTACTTGATGTTAAAGGAGCAATTGTTTTTTTTGTTAATTATTGTATATTTTGTTTTGAATATTTCTTGTGGTTATTTATATCGATAGTTTTTATTTTTTGTTCTTTTTTTATAGTTTTGTTTTAACTTTGTGAGTGAATGTTTGGTTTTTGTGTGTATAAGAGTATTATATTAATTTTGTAAATAATCTATATATAAATCATAGTTTGTATTCTGAAAATAAAGTATATATAAATGTACAATTTTTTGTGTGTGTAAGAGTATTAGTTTTATAATAAACTAAAAATAAACTATATATAAATTTAAATATATTGCATACTTGTAATGATTTATAAACATATAATAAACTAAAAATAAACTATGTAAAACATACTCCAAGATTAAACTATATATGGATTTACAGTAGAAAAATTGATCTACAAAATAAACTATTTTTAGTTTATCTTGGAGTTAATAAACTAAAAATAAACTATATATAGATTTACAGGAGAAAAATTGATTTATAAATCCAAGATAAACTAAAAATAAACTAGATAAATTTAAACAAGAAAAGGCCAAAAAATTGTATATCTTGTATTTATATGAATGTATAGTTGTAATATTTATAAACTTATAATACACTAAAAATAAACTATATATAGATTTACAGTAGAAAATTTGATTTATAAACTATCACAACTCCATATAACATTTTTCTCTTACTTCAAAATTCACACATTTTGCTCAAATCTAGAGTCTGCGGCTTGGTTCCATTTGCGACTCCAGGGGAGGCAACAAAACTCGAACCAGAGTCTTGTCCGGATTGGAATTAGGGTTTGAGAATTGGGATTCCTGTTACGGGTCTTGGTCTCGGTCGAGTAGACAGCGAGAAGTACAGCCAGGGTATTTGGAACAGCTTCAAGGGAGGACGCGTCTCGCATTAGCTTTGGCTGCCCCAACTATTTGAAGTTGCCGACACTAATCCTCCTCCAATAACGACCAGCACGAGGACTAGAGGAATTCGACCAATCGGCACAAGGTGGGTGACTGAAAGACGAAACGGCTGCACACATCCTTGCCGGAGAGAGGGCGGCACGGCGGAAATCGCCGCCTCACCCCTCCCACACAAGGGCTGCAGATGGTCGGGAAGAAGTCACTTACCTTGGCTATTACCGACGCTGAGAGGTCGAGGACTGGGGTGTGCGTCTGCCGGCGGGAGGCGAAAAGGGGGCTGCAGAGATCGAGAATTTGGATTCTAGGTTTCGAAGAGAGAGAACAGAGAAATTGGGGAAAAGGAAAAAAAGACAATATTTGGAGGACTTGATTTCCCGTGACCCCGTCTCGCATTAGCTCTTGCCTTTTTGTTTAATTTTGTATGTGGATATCGTCAGTTATGAAGACATTTAATAAAGGGTACAATTTTGTGAGAAAACTTTGTGTCCTTTTCTCTTTAAGGTAAAGGGTACAATTTTAATATAGGCATTGTTGTTAGTTATAGACATATACGTGTCCTTTCGCCCATACACACTTTTGTAAGAAAACTTTATTAGAGATTTGGCAGGATAATAAGTGGACTTATCTAGCCCATCAAAGTAAACGGGGCCTATATACACACTTTTATCCAGCAAAAAAAAAAGCCATAAAAAAGTAGTCAGCCCTCAAAACCAAAACACGGCAAACACTTACTCGACTGGTGCACGCCAATTCAGCTGCAGCCCGGCGTCCACTGAGATTTTAAGATGTTGACTAATTTCAAAAGTTGACAAGAGGAAGAAGACAGCTCATTAAACACCATAATATATAATGAATATACAAGAACAGTTCATTTTCACAACACAGAGACGCAGCTCCAAAAGTTCCACGCTTCCACCTCTCAAATCTACACAACCACATCTCTCAAGTCACTTGAGGTTCGACAGGGACATAGGCGTCAATGGAGGAGAAGCACCAGCTTCATCCCCCCTTCTCACGAGCTGAGAAGATTCCAACAGCTTTCCCGAATGAAAAGCTCTCACTCTCTGGCTGCTCGATGGAATGGAGAAGCTTCTAGAAACAGTCAACTGTGGGAGAGGCAGAGGAGACCCCACCCGGAACACACCCCTGGCAGGGCCCAGCGAGTCGGGTGGCCTCGGGAGCTCGTGAAGCTCGCTAATTTTTGGGCCTTTGCTGGAAGAACCTTTGCTGACTATTGGGCCCGAGAAAGCCTGCCTCTTGACCTTCTGACCTTCGGATAAAGCGGGCTGCATGTCGGGCTGCTGGGTGGAGCCCGGCCCGTCGGGCTGAGGACGGGGTAAGGGGAGAGAATGCTTCTTCTTGTTGTTGTTGTTGCTGTTTTCTGCAGGTATGTAGTCGTCAGAGGATTTCTTTTGCTTCTGGATGTCTAGTGGGGATGAATGCCACGGGTTCATGGAGTGGGGCCCACCGGAAGCTGTGGTGGTACTTGAGCTATTTCTTATTGAACCCTTGGCGTTGTCTGGGGTGGGCAGCACGTGTTTGTTGCTGCTAAATTTCTGCATTTCCCTTATTCTTTCTGTTGGGTCGAATTTCTCGGCGTATAATGGAGCGGAATGACTGCCAGTTCTATGTTGTCGGCTGACTGTTTGATCTCCTTGATTTCTGGCGACGTTTATTTGGAGGTCGGAGTTTTTGGCTTGTGGAATCTGTTGACTTGGACCAGACGATAGGTCTAACTGCCGAGTTTATGAAAATGAGATGACATAAGAGGAATCAATTCTACGACTATAAACTAATAGAAAGAAACTCGGTACTTTAAGATTAATTAAGTGAATAACTCAATCGAGGGGATAGTCCTGAGAGGCCAAGATGGTCAAATTGGGACAATTAAAAACCTAGAAAATGAACCCTAGACAATGAAAAATAAAAGCATAGGAAACTAAAAAGTTTTAGAACTTTATAAAGCTGTGAAGAAAAACTAAGAAAAACAAAAATACCTAAAAACAGAAAAACCTAAAATTGGAGACTTCCATCAGACGTTCTGATACAAGTTCTAACCTTCAACCTAGTATTAGAATTCAGAAATTTTAGTTTTCATAGACTTGGCCGGCACACAAAGAATGTGAACTGAACGAAACTCCAACTAAATAGCTCACCTCCATAGAGTTCCTCGTTCCACTAGTATTATCCAAGTCCTTTCTGCTCTGGTCATATTCAAAACTCAGATCTCCATCTTCGTTAGCCTCGAAACTGTTCTCATCACCACGTTCTTCACCATCGTTTGATTCGGATAGCTCGTAGTCTATGTGCTGCTTTTCCGCAGCATCTCTAATATGCAGCTCAATGGCATCAAGAGATTGGAACCCTTTCCGGAAAAAATTTAACTGCTTTCTCAAAAATGAGGGAACAAAAATCACGAAACTCAGAAAAAGACTGGAAAAGGGACTACCCAACCATGAGACCACTTAAATAACAAAAAAGAACCTGTGCTGCATGATGACGGGCTGCCTGTGTTAGTAGACTCCGGCCTTGCCCTTGCTTCAATGATGCTACTCGGAAAACACATAGCCTTGTCGCCTCGTCGTAGTCTTCACGAACTGCCTGTAGTTGCTCTGAGGTTAAAGTCTCCCCCTTTCCATGTCTCGACTTCCCTTTCTCTTTAAACTGTCCTACCATGTGCTCAAAGATCTCTCTGCAAGTCATTCGACACATTGAATTCAATATAACACAATGAAGAATATATATTCGGTTAAAAGAGTGGAGAAATAAAAGCATATACCTTTTCTCATCACATTGCAATTTCATTTCCTGCACCAGTAAAATATAAATTATCATTACAAGAAATGGAACAAGTCAAGTAATCCCATGATTTAACAGCATCAATGCACACGTGTTTTGACCGAAGATTGAATTGATCATAAAAGAATAAGCACAAGGCCATCAAAATAGGTATTCAAGCAATTCAAAGTTTCATAATGCAGCCATGAGAACTTAACATTTAATTCTTCATCCCAATCCAGTATATATTATGTTGAACAGCATAAATCTAGTCAAGCTTATTTTAAGAGTTTCATTAGCAAATAAATAGTATTTCAGCGTGTCATTCTAAAGCTCAAGTATCTTTAGAGAAGTCCATTGATTTGGCTAAACTTGAAACGTATAGAAATGTATGATATTCAAGTTCTGGTATAGTTTTTTGCAAAACCAAAAATAAATTGGGTGATATTGTGTATCAACCTCCACTTTCCGCAGCTCACTCAAGAGAGACTCTGATGGGTGAGTAATTGTCATGATAATTTGAGACCTCTGAAATGCAGAAGATATCAAGTTATAACCGAGTTTTCTTGAACACAATATGTAAACACTAACCGTTGAAAATACAATGAACACTAACATAGCTGTCAACAAGTTTCTGAAGCTCAAGCTGCACTCTTCCCAGCAAGGACAATGTACCCCCTGCAGAGTGATTAGAAAGTATTCTAGAAATTAACTTTTCTTTCCAGATAGCTCTACATAGGGATCAACTGCACTCTGCAAGTCTTGAGCTTGATCTATTAACAATCATCTTGATTAACTGGATTGACTTTAGCCAAGAGAAAAATGACGGGACAATTTTGGAGAAGTTTCGTTTGGTTAGGTTAAGCAACTGCACCTCATAAAAATTAATAAATAAATCTAGCATTCAACTGACATATATCATGCTATCACTCAAAGTTAAGTATGAGATCAATGGAAGCAACATATAGGTAGACGAACTGGTTCACTCACCAGTTTCTCCATCATCATGCACTGCAGTTTTCTCCAATAGACAATTACCCATCTCGAGCAGTGACTCCGAGAACTCTGAAACGAGAAATTACCATATTGTTGATGTAGAAGTGTAAGTGTATAATTATGGTGTTTAGTAAGTTATGCAGACACCAAATCTGTAAATTAGGTCTTCTCAGGTGATGTATTTAATTATTAGACACCTTCCCTTCTTAACACTTTAACCTCTTCCAAATAAATAATTACTGTAAATAAAAGAAATTGAGGTCATGTATGTAATGTGGTTATATTTTTCACACCTATGTCCTATGTACATATATTATTGCAACAATACCACCAATCTCTCCACTCTCATTTCTTTGAGAATTTGACACACTCATATTTTATTTATTTTCATCTTTTTTAATACATTCTAGTTACTAATATAAAGGGTCCATATATTCAAAATAAAGATATATGGTGACAGCAATATCAGTCGAAGATTATATATAGCAATCCTACACAGTACATCTAATACTTTTTCATCAGGGCTGTTCATTAACGGAAATGAAAACACTAACCGCTTAAATATTTCACACCTGTGTGGCTCATAATGAAACGAGGATAAAAAAATAGAGAAATCTACAAAGTCATCTCAAGCTTAAACGTGGGATCAATTTTCACCATCAAGTTGAGAGCCTCTACTTTTCCATTTTTTTTCCACTCCCAGCCTTCGTCCTTTTTCTCATAACATATGGTGGCTCAAATTCCATTATGCATTCTTCCCTAAATACTTTGATAAGTGTTGTGTCAGGTCATGAAAAGAACATAGGCCTAGCTACAAACTTAAGACATAAATAGGGGGATCCGGAACGGGAACTTAGGTGAGAAAGGCTGAATGCATATAGTAAGCACTGTCCTAAGAACTTACTGTAAACAATACACATCCAAGATTCTTAAATTTCCAATGAAGTGCGCATCTAAGCTCTGAATATTAATAAGAAAAAATGGAGCAAAGTACTAAGTAAGGCAGCATAAGAGTGAAACTTCTTCTCCTATGTGTAACTTAACTAGCATATTGCTTAAGCAAAAGTACCATAAGCGCTGTTTGCTGTTGCAGCAGCTGCAGAGAGCAGTCCATCATAGCATGTTCGCATGTCTTTCATATCCTGCAAGCATAATGCAACCATCAAAACATAAGTCAGTCACTGTGTAAGGAACAGAAAAATTCTGCAGAGTAAAATAACCATGGGCAAAATGTTCCAATTATAACCCGTTCAAGAATCAGTATCTAATAAATATCAACCTGAAAGAGAAGATACAATTAAAGATGTATGACGTCGTGACAATTTTGCTAGTTCACATTCACCTACTACTGTGCATTTCACATAGACCACATTGAGCCCAATAACATCAGTCATATCTGAATGTGGGGCTGGCAGAATCAGATCGAGCGGAAAAAGAAGAAACAACAATTAACTGGGATTTATGCATTAAGAATACTTCCAGTCAAATTATCTACTAGTATCAGTCCATAAATCAACCAGAAGTCCAAGAACCCCTAGAGTGTTACGATTAGACAGGATTATTCACACATAATCAGCCAACTGAACGGACTGCCAATCAGCATGGACTGTAAGCTAATGCACCATTTCTCAATGAAATTGACCTTAAGACATGAACTTCATCGAACAGTCACTGAAGAACTAAGGAAAAACCAAACAACAAGATGAACGCATCAATCGGACAAGACGCACCTTTGCTGCTTGACTTAACCCATCCGTATGCACCGAGATATGGTGATCCCAATTTTCGTCCGCCGCGCCTTTATTCAGCCCCAATTTCTTCAGCTTCCTCAGCGGTGACTTCATACTCGAGCTATCACCAACTCACTGAAAAAGTTTACACCTCTCACGCTTTTGAGGAAACAGATAAAATCAAATTAACAGGCAGATGTCCTTTTATATATCCCAAAATCGAATCGGGGAAAAAAGAAAGATCAAATGAAAAGCGAACAAAGAAATGGAAAAGAAAAGGAGCAAAACATTTTGTACAAAATTGGAGAGGAAAGAGAAGCAAGAAGAGAGAAGAAAATTGTAATTCTTCTAACGTTATTATTCGCCGAAATTTAGAAAAGGGCCAAAAGGCACACTTATTGCTTGTCACACAGACTTTTTTATATACAGACTGAACTCACCCATTCAAAATGTCCTTTTGCGTAATTTAGTCTGGTCAAAGAAAAAGAACGAGAGTATCCTCTCCTGTTCCCTTACTCCAGTGCTGTTCGGTGATTACTGAAATCGCAGAGTCAATGAATTTTCAGAACTTCGCTCCAGAAAGTTTATAACTTTATCTTCCTTAAGCGGGGTTTAGTAGGAAGTGGGGAGGGAGGTCAATTTTCTAGCGTTCAATGACATGTATTAATGGTATGATTGTATACACATATTTTCACTCAAAATAAAAAAGAATCAGTCACCACTATTTACAGTGTTTATTTATCAAAATTTAGTTTGCCTTTAATTTTCCGTGGTCCTACCTAGAGCTGTCAAAACAGCTTGTGGGCCGGCCCGTCCCGCTCCGCAAGAAGGGCGGATTGGGCCTTCATTTTCAAGCCCCACCATAGAGTGGGCCTATGCGGGGCGGGGCGGGCTAACCTGCGGGCCAGCCGCTTAATTAATATATATATATATATATATATATTGGATCTGGTTGTTGACTTAGGTTAGAAAATAGAATCAGAGATTCAAATTTAAAAAAACACACCACAACTCGAACTCTCTAAACCCCTAATCCTAGCCTCCACCGTCGCTTCGCCCATCGCCTCCACACGCGGCACACGACGATTCAGCCTCTCCCCTCCGGTTCTCCGACCTCCGCCCACGCCTCCGCCTCCTGCTTCGGTCTCCGGCGTCGGCCTTCAAGATCCGCCTCCAGCCTCCTCCGCCGGCCTCTGCCGGCCTCCGCTTTTGTGACCCATCAAAGTTCAGATCCTCCACAGTAGTTTCGTTTTTAGTTTAAATGCAACAGGTTTTCTTTTTTCTTTTTTTTTCTAATAAATAAAGAACTGGGTCGTAGCCCAACCCAACCCAACATTTAGCTTATTGGGATGGCTACAACCCAGTTAGTAAAAAAATAATAATAATAAAAGGCGGGCCAGCCGAGCCCGCAATCTGTGGCGGGGGCGGCAGGCCTGCCAGGATGGCGGGCTACGAGCCGGCCCGTTTTGACAGCTCTAGTCCTACCCTTTGTGATTGAGTTGAATTATATCGGTCTTGCTTTTAATTTTGTTCGGACCTAGTAGTTGTCAAATTGAGCTGAATATAAACACCTTTAGCACAAAATTGACAATTTGTACTCCTATTCCTTGTAATCAAGGAGTTGTGCGAGCCCTTCTTCGTCATAAAATCCCCTTCTATTTGTGGAAAAATGACCACACCACCACAACCTCCACCACTGGCCGTCAACTCCCCGGCGCTTGGCACTCAGCCCAAAATGATGAAGACTTACGCGAGAAGAGAGAGCACTGGCAGTGCTTCGATGACGTCGTCGTGAAGAAAAACCCAACGATATTGAAGTTGAGCCAACTCTCTGTTTTTATTATTTTCGTCACCGGTAATTTGCTGAAAACACTGAATGATGTTGAATCCCACCGAATAAACGCACGTCTTTGAGTATTTTTCACTTTTCTTACAAAGATCTGAAACGAAAGAACTTCAATTTGGTGAATCCCACTGAATAAACGCACGTCGTTGCATGGTTCCGTACAAATCGCCGGTTTTAAAAGCGTACTTCTTCTTAACGTTAGGTGGACAGTGGTTGCAAACACATATAAAATGTTTGTCACCTTTTTTCTCATCGGACACCTTCGTGAAGTTCCTTGTGAATATGTCGAATGTCTTTCGTCGACTCCCTCTGGCGACAATCCGTTGAGGTTGAACCTTCACCTTGAGTAGGATCAAAATCGTCTGTATGCAGTTGCTCTTGGTCCTCCTCGTTCTCCTCGAAAAGTAAGCTCTCATAGATTTCATAAATAGATTCAAAGATGCGTTGGACCTCCACGAACTCAATGTGATCGGGTAGACCCAGAACGTCCCGATACATCGTCAGCGTTGGTGGCGGAATCGACAATGGAGGTCTACCACTACCACTCGTAGATGCGCCTAGATTTTTACACTTTTGGGGCCGATCACCAGAACCACCACGAGCACTCGACATTATATAACTGGAAGAATAGAATTTATAAAATAAAAAAGAGGGGTGAAAAGGATAGAAATTAGAAAAAGTTAGATATTGGAGAGTATTATTAAGAGAATTTATAGAATTAAAACCGAAATGAAAGAGAATTTATAGAATCAAAACTGAATTTATCTAGAATCGGACCAAATTTATCTAGAATCTGGCACAAAATCTCATAAATATAACTTTAAGAACTTTTAGAATGAGATGAAGAAAGTGAGAGGATGGTAAATTAGGTGT